TTTACAAACACCATTAGAACAAATCATTCTATTCATTAAGAGAATGCAACTATATATCTATCCTAACCACTTGGAATACACAGATACAAAATGGACATTCATCGGTATACCCCATTTGTTCTAAGTTCCGTTATTGAATATTATAGGTGTGTAAACTCAGCAAAAGTACTAAGAATTGAACCCAGGCCTTTCCCACACTGACCTACATCCATAGCCCTTATTATTTATTTTCATTTTCAGACAGGATGTTTTTTTTTCTTTTTACAGGCTGGCCTTGAAGTCACTATGTAGCCTAGGCTGGCTTCAAACTCTTGGCAGTCCTCCTGCCTTGGCTTCTAAAGTGTGCTGGCATGCACCACTACAACTGGTGGCTCCTGGATACCCAAAGTTGATCGCGTCATCCCTTGACTCTTTCCTTGCCCTGTTCCCTTCTCAGTGTAGGTGGCTGACCTGTGCCCGGCTGCTGCAGCAACTAGAAGTCTCCTGCCACCGTCCTTTAGTCTCAGCTGGCCAGGCCAGCCAGGCTTTGTGCTGGCTATTGTTGCCCTCTGACCCATGCAGCAGCCCCAGTCTCCTCCCTGCCATTGCTTGAGTCAGATCTCCTTTCCCCTGGGAAACCATAACAGCCTCTTCACCAGCATCCCCATGTCTGGGCCTCTGGCTGACCCACTCTTCTTACTGCAACCTCTGTGAGCTTTCTAGAATGAAACCTCCAGCTCACTACCCTCTCCCTGGCTATCCTTCACCCAGGCCAGTCGCAGCTCCATGCACAGTGCACAGGGTTTGTTCCTCCTGGGCACACTCCTGTTGTTCCCCTAGCCCCCACCCTGTGTCTGTGCTGCAGCAGCGCCAGATGAGGCTCTGCTCTCCTTCCTCCTTGCCCAGCAAATTCCTTCTGCTCCTTGAGGTGAAGCTCCACTGTCACCTCCTTATCTTCTCAGTTTCCTCTTAGTTACCTCTTGGGACTTTGTCAACTGGGTTCAAATGGGCTCTTCACACTTCAAACATTGCTAAGGAGGCTTGTTACATTCTGATTATGAATGTCCTTGTTAGTGTCTACCCACTAGCCCTTAAAGGTAGGGTTTACTTCTTTGTCCTCTGTGTCCTCAGTCCTAGAAAATTGGATATTTAGTTAGAGAATATGTAAGTAAATGTGTTGAACTTTGTGACTGAGGAAAGGAATGTAAAGTCCATAGCATAATGTCAGGAGCATAACACATGGGGGCTGTCCTAATAATGCGTACTTGCATACATGCGAGTATGTGTCATTCTCATGATGGTACACACATACATAGTTTTACTATTACTGTCATAATAGAGCATACAGGTATCTCATAATAGTGTATGTGTGCATGCTATTACTAGTACAGTAACTACTTCATTTGTTACAGGTAATTTCTTGGGGGAGCCTTCCTTTTCTCTCCCTCCCTTCTCTCCACTCTTTCTTCCTTTCCCCCCACCTCGCTCAGACTTGGTCCTTATATTGCTCACATTCACAATTCTCCTGCCTCAGTCACCTAAGTAACTGGAATTACAGGTAAATACCATAACAGCATCAACCCTTTTGAAGGGTTTCTTTGCACCCACATTTCTCCTACACCCCTCCTTATATCCCATCTACCTAGCATCAAGGCACCTCTGGCTGTGTAGAAAATTGTAGGCCCAGCTGATGAACTTGCCAAAGATGATCCTCAGACTAGAAGTAAGAAGCCATTTTTCCTCCGGTTTTCAGCCTCCCCAGTGCTGGGATTACAGATGTGTGCCACCATGCCTAGACTCTGTAGCCTGCTCAGTGCGCCCAGGGGTAGAGCCAACACTGCTTTCCTGTGTGTCTTAACGTATACTTTGAAGAAGTACATTGTCAGAAGCATGGCTCTAGGATTTCACAGGCCTCTTGTGCTATAGCAAACCTGGTGTGAGTTCTTTAATTTTGCTCATTTGCATCAGCACCGGTGGCCAGTCCTGTTCAGGGCAGCCTTGCTGTGGGCAAGGCGCAAGGACTGGTTGCCATGCAAAGCAGGGCACTGGTCTCCCAGAGGACACAGGCATGAGATGGGGGAAGCAGAAGTATGAACTTCCCCTCCTGAAGCCTTCCTTGCCCCACAGCAAACTTGCATTTTCCCAGAAACAGGACAGGGCCTGACCAGAAATTTTTTCCATGCCCTCCAGAAAGGCATTTCTGAAGTCTTTAGCAAGCTGGCAAGCCCTGGGTTAGCTGTCTGGAGCAGGCTGCCGCACCTCCCAGCCTCCACCCTTCCTGAGGAAGCTGAGCAGTGCAAACTGCCTGATCCCCTTCTGACTTTGAGTCAGAGACTGTGGCCTGTAAAAAGTGTTCTATCATTGCCCTTGAGCAATCTGCAAGGCATGTTTTCTCATCAGCCTTTTAGTATTTACAGAATTATTTTATATTTTACCTGAAGAATGGTTTCTACAAGAAAAATCTACCCAAAAACACATCAAAAGGGAATCAACAGATTTATGTCAATGATAACACATTGCTAGAGTAAGCTACAATGTACAGAGGGCTTTTATAAACTTCTGTCTTAAAAAATATGTATGCAATTCTTACTGCTGTTTCTCTAATAGCTGATATGAGCAGGGTGTAGTGGTGTATGACTGTAATACTCAGGAGGCTGAGGCAGAAGGATCATTGCAATTCAAGACCAGCCTGGGCTACAAAGTGAGCTCAAGGCCAGCCTGAGCTGAATAGCAAGACCCTGTCTCAAAAAAGACAAAAAAAAAAAAAAATTTTTTTTTAATAGTCGATATGTGTCATTGTATTTAATCCATATGACAGTTTTATGGATGTTATTCCCATTTTATGAAAGAACAAAGAAAGTCATGCTAAAAAGAAAGTGTCTGCACTGATGTGTAAGTCGGCAGACTCAGGCCCTTCTCCCAAAGCTGCGGAGGCAGCTGTCCAGTTACCTCTAGGGAAGCAGTGATCTTCTGGACAGGCCCTGTTTTGTCTAGACAGTGACTTCTCCCACTTATGGAGGAGCTGGTCTCAGGCTCAAGCAAAAGAAGAATACAAGTGAATGCTGCTGACTGTGTGTTGTATAGTCACCAGTGAGGACCTTTATCCAGGCTAGAAGGGGCCAGAGCCCTGTCGTGGATTCTGTGTCCTGGGGGAAGTGCTAACCTTAGCTGAGGCGTGGCCATCAGGCATAGCTAATCCCTTTGAGAACTCCTGCACTGGCTTGTGGCCTATGACTTCTTGGGCAGCCCCTCCCATCTTAGAAGCATCTGCTTGTTCAGAAGACTACCCTGATGAATCCTGTGGTTTAGTGGGAAAAAACAAAAAGGAGAAACTGCATTTGACTTCATAATTGTGTCACCTGCTACCTTCGACTGTGTTAAAACTCAATCCAAGCTACTCTTTTTCTCATTGGTATAACCAAGGAAAGATAACATTTAACCCCCAAGACAGTTCTGTGTGGCTTCAGAGTGGATCTCAGGCCACAGGTAGAGGTTATAGGAGAATAGACATTAGAAACTAGGGAAGTACTTACCAGTATACTAAAATCTTGAAAAGACTGATTTTTTTTTATTTATTTATGTGCTCTGAATAAGGGAGAAGAAAAATGGTTTACAGTAGTTGATAAGCAAGAAAATCTTAGCTAGGTACTGTGGCACATGCCTATAATCCCAATTACTAGGAAAGCTGAGGCAGAAGGCTTATAAATTCAAGGCCAGCCTGGGCACTGAGCAGGACGCTATCTGAAAATGAAATTTTAAAAAGGGGCAGAGGATTGGGGGATATATCTCAGCGGTGGAGAAAAGACTACTTTGAAAGATTCGGGTCCACATTTACGGGGCCTTATTCTTTTCTAGTCATTTCCATGCATTCTGAAGGAGACAGAGAGCATCCTTCCTGGTTGTTTTGTTTTGTTTTGGTTTTCAAAGTGTTTCCCAAATGGGTCACAGTGCCCTCCTCGTAGAGACAGGAGTTGGGCTCAGATCTTCCAGCCAAAGGCAGGTCGATACCTCAGGCTCCTACTCAGACCCAGGGGCTCCAGTCTTCTAGCCACATCCCCTCCTTTGTGACCTTCTCAGTCCTATTTCCTTGGGGTCCCTACCCAGTTGCTCAGCTCTGGCTCTTTGCTGCTGTCTATACCTATACTTTGCACAGAGAGGTCCTTCCTCACTCCTTCCACAGCTCCAGGTCCGCTCCAGTGCCCTTCTCCAGGAACTCCTCCCTGGCTTGGTTTGAAAAGCCTCTGTCTCTGCCTCCCAGAATGACCTCTACCCCACTTTCTGCCCACCTGTTTCCTGAGGTGTGAGCATCTTCCCTTTGCCTGTTTCTTAGGCTGTTAGCTTCCTGTAGTTTTGATTCATCCTGTTTTCTCCATCCTCACCTGCAGCCTCAGAGTAGATGCCTATTCTGTGCTTGGGGAGGGAGGGAGTTGAAGGGAGGACCTCAAAAGGGTAGCTTGATGTGGTAGTAATGGTTGGCCTGCACCATCTGGTAGAGGCTATTAAGAATTACCAAATAAGGGCCAGAGAGATAGCCCAGCAAACTAAGCTCCTGCTTAGGCAAGTGCAGGGCCTGTGATTCAGTCTCTGGTGCCACATGCTGTACCAGCCCTGCTCCTGGACACACTGAGCCGAGACCAAGTCCAGGTGTGGTGGTGCATGCCTGTAATCACAGCACTGGGGAGGCTGAAAACAGGAGGATGACTACAAGTCCAAGCTGCATAGTGAGACCCTGTACAACATAACATTTTTTAAAAAAAATTACCAAATGTATTGTTCACTGTTGTTTGAATGACTACAGTGTATTTTTTTGAGAAAGTCCAAGAACACCCTTGACCCAGACCAAACCATTGTATTTAATGTTTTTGCATCCGCAGCCCTCTTTGTGGACATAATGTAAAAGTAAATTCCCTCCACCTCTAAATTTTTTTACCCTCTCAATAAGAATATTCCAAATGCAAGGTATGTGCTAGCATGTAAATTTCTTGATTTGTCAAGAACATGCCATTCCTTTAAGTGATCCTGGTTCTTTTCCACTTTTTGTATCAGGTCAAAGTAATATCTCTCTCTTTCTCTCTCTCTCTCTCTCTCTCTCTCTCGCTCGCTCGCTCGCTCGCTCGCTCGCTCGTAAATACTAGTGATTAAACCAGGTCCGGTTGTGTTTACTTACTAAGCAATTGCTTAACCACTGAATTGCACCCCCAACCCTATTTATTTGTGCTTTTTTGAGAGAAGATCTCACTCTGGCCTGAAATTTGTGATCTACCTCAGCCTCCTGAGAGCTGGGATTATAGGTGTGCACCACCTGCACTCAGCCCTTATATTAAGCAGTCTTCACTAACATTATTTTACGTTGAGTAATATCCCACATATGAAGGCATCATGATTTACCTAACCTAGTCCTAGGTTTTTAGATGTTTATTTCCATTTTGAAGCTAAGTAAACAATGCTAGGATAGGGCCAGGGAGATGGCTCAGTGGAATAAGC